AAGCCTGCCTGGAAGTGGCCAAACACCAATCCCAGCACCGGGAACGCGGCTCCAAACGTCGCAAAGGCCCTTCCAGCCTTTCCCCAGCCCCTCTCCCCGTGGAGATCCGCGCCGACCTCTTCGTCAACGCCACCTCCTTCCCCATCCTCCGGGAAGCCCTCGGGATCAGCCCTTCCAGCCTTTTGCTCCTCAAGTGCCGGGATTTCCACGCCGAGGAACTCCCCGCCGCCGGCACCGCGGCGCTGCTGGGATCCCTGGATCCCTCGGGGTTGAGGCGCGTGGAGCTGAGGTTCAACAACCTGGGGATGGCCGGGTTGGGGCTCATCCTGCCCCAGCTTTCCCACTTCCAGGATCTCCTCAGCCTCCAGCTGCCCTACAGCAACCTGGATCTCCGGAGGCCTCTTCCCGGCTTGGATGCCGCGATCCGGTGTCTCGCCGCCCACCTGGGAAAGCTGCCTCGCCTGAAGGAGCTCAACCTGGATTCTTCCAGGCTCTCGGGGAAACTGAGGCAGCTTTTCAGGTAAGTTCCCCTCTGGAGACAATTCCCAACTTTCTTGTTGTGCTCTGGGGATGGGGGGGAGGGAGGACTCGGTTGGCACGTGGGAGGTTGGGATCTACCGCCGTTCCGGGTGGATCCGCCGTCGCTCCAGGCAGATCCACCACCATTTTTGGGGGCTTCACCACCATTCCAGGGGGATTCACCACCATTCCAGGGGGATTCACCACCATTCCAGGGGGATTCACCACTATTGTGGGTGGATCCATCACCATTCCAGGTGGATCCACCACCACTCCAGGCAGATCCACCACCATTTTTGGGGGCTTCACCAGCATTCCAGGGGGATTCACCACCATTCCAGGGGGATTCACCACTATTGTGGGTGGATCCACCACCACTGCATGAGGATCTACCACCATTATGGCTAGATCCACCCCCATTCCAGGCAGATCCACCCCCATTCCAGGCAGATCCACCCCCATTCCAGGGGGATCCACCCCCATTCCAGGCAGATCCACCCCCATTCCAGGGGGATTCACCGCCATTATGGGTAGATCCACCACCATTCCAGGGGGTCCCACCACCATTATGGGTAGATCCACCCCCATTCCAGGGGGATCCACCACCATTATGGGTAGATCCACCCCCATTCCAGGTGGATCCACCACCATTCCAGCAGATCCACCCCCATTCCAGGGGGATCCACCACCATTCCAGGTGGATCCACCACCATTATGGGTAGATCCACCACCATTCCAGGTGGATCCACCACCATTCCAGCAGAACCCCCCACAATCCCGGGTGGACCAACCACCATTCTAGGCAGATCCACCCCCATTCCAGGGGGATCCACCACCATTCCAGGTGGATCCACCACCATTATGGGTAGATCCACCACCATTCCCGGTGGCTCCACCACCATT